GATGTTACAGGGCCTCCCTCTCTTTCCCTCCCTTTTCCCAGAGCGCCTGCAGTTGTCCGTCCTTCATCCCCATAGTACCAGGAGTAGATGGACCAGGTGGCTCATGAGCTGAGTAACGAGAGGTCCAGAAAGAAAGTCCAGGATCAGGATCCCCACATGTTACAGGGCCTCCCTCTCTTTCCCTCCCTTTTCCTCAGAACTGGAAGAGCGCCTGCAGTTGTCCATCCTTCATCCCCATAGTACCAGGAGTAGATGGACCAGGTGGCTGATGAGCTGAGTAACGAGAGGTCCAGAAAGAAAGTCCAGGATCAGGATCCCCAGGGGAAGCTAAGCGGCTCTGCTATTGCTGTGTGGACACTGCAGCTGGGTACCGCCCTGTAAGCGGCTATGATGTTACCATGGTAACCCAAAGGCAGGCAGGTGCTGGGGGATGCCAGTCAGTCCCATGAGCTGCCTTGGAAGGCTTATGCGTGGAAACCATAGGCTTTTTTTTTTCAGGTTTGTTTTTGAAAACAAACTCCCCCTTGCTCTTACTTGGGTAAAGAGAAGGTTTTCCTCTTGTGTCTTGGGGCCCAGGGAAGAAGCAACAGCTGCTCTAAGTCCTTTGATTGCAGCCCTCTTGGAGAAGCCCCTGGGGCTCTGTCTATGGGCAATAGCGGCTACCTGTGGGTGCTACTAAGCTCCCTTCCAGGCCTCAGTGGCCTACTAGAGGGCGAGGGGCTGGTCTTGAAAAGCTCTGAGACCTTTCTTCCTTTACTAGGACTTGCTCCCAGGATCTCCTTGTGCCCGAGTAAACAAAAGCCAGTGTGGGCTTCTGGGCAGATGTGAACACAAAGCCCACTCAGTGCATCTGTTCACTCCCGAGTCTCCCAGGAGGGGTGTCCTGTGAGGGGACTGAAGGGCCCAGGGACCCCTGCCAACTAGCAGGGCCTGTCAGGCAGGAGAGAGGCTGTTCTTGGGGGAAGTAGGGAGGAGGGGGAAGAAGAGGTAAGCAGAATTAAGTCTTCTGTGACTAGGATCAGGTGTTAGGATGTCAAGCAGGGACTTTTTCCATAGGACAAATGATCAGTAGCCACCAAAAGTGGTTTTAGACTATTAAATCTGTTCAAGCTGGAGAAGAGAAAAGCTCAGAGATCAACTACTCGAGTCTGCCACAGATGCAGTAAAGGAGGTAATGGCCCACTTCTCTCCTCCCATGCTGACCTGGCCTGAGTATAAGGAGACTATTAAATCTGTTCAAGCTGGAGAGAAGGAGAAAAGCTCAGAGATCAACTACTTGAGTCTGCCACAGATGCAGTAAGGGAGGTAATGGCCCACTTCTCTCCTCCCATGCTGACCTGGCCTGAGTATAAGACTGCAAAAAAGGGAACAGGGGAGCCCCAACTTCAGGCTGAGCTCCCTGGGAGAGGGAACTGGAGTGTGATGCCTCCTGGTTGGGGATACAGGGGTCACTCTGGGTCATTGTGCTGACCCCCAGCAAGAAGTACCCGAAAACTGGCATGAAAGGAAGCCACTGATATCTTAGGACTTGAGGGCCAATGGGGACGAGCCCACCAGCCCCAAAGACAGTCTTCCTCGGCCCCTCAAATCTTTGCTCTTCAGGATTAACCAGAAGCAGGAGGGGACAGAAAGCAAGAGAGTGACCTAACTCACAGCCAAGGGTCCTGGGAGTGTGAAGACTAACCCAGGAAAATCCAACTGGTACATCCACCATCTGCCCCATGGTTATGAAGACTACCCATGTTTCAGGTGACAGAAACGCCAATGGGCCAGGTGGTATTTGAGGGCTCACAGGTCCACAGACTCAGCCTTGAGCCTCCTGCCAAACCTTGGTGTTGGGACCTAGCTCAGGCCAGGGATCTACATCCAATCTCTGGAGGCCCAGCCTCAGCTCCCTCCTCCATTTGTCACGTCCAGGGCTCTCTGTCCTGACCTTACCCTGGTCTGCCTGATACATCTCTGCTCTGATGATCACTGCCGCACTTAGTCGCAGAGGCTGAGACACCCTTCTACTCACCTGGACCCTCCACCGCCCTCTAGCCCTGCTATGGAGAACAGCTATGTGGGAGGGCAGACGAGCCAAGTCAAGGGCAAAGGCTCAAGTCAGGCTCTGTGTTTAGCATAGTACAGACCCCTCTGGCCTGCGAGCTTCTGGGGGCAGGGCCTAGACTGCTCACCCTAGTGTTCCAACATGTCTGGACCCAAGAAGGGACTCTGAGTGCTTATTGTGTGGGGGTAAAATGAAGAGGGGACAGAACACTTCCTCCTGCCTGTTCCCCTCCTTTCCTCCTCCTCCTCCTCCTCCTCCTCTTCCTCCTCCTCTTCCTTTCTCCTCTCTCTCTCTCCCCCCTTTCATCTTTTCTGTTTCTCACCTTTCTTTTTCCCTCTCTCTTCCTCTCCCCGCCCCCCACTAAATACATGCAACATTAAAGTTTAGCCCCATAGCCACTCAGTGCGTATTTAGTGGCACTTTGCCTCATGGTCCCGTCTCTGCTTCCCTCTGTCCCCCACTCCCATCTGACCACCCCAGCCAGATCAGCTCAAGAGCGGATCTCTGAAACCTCTACAGAGCTTGCTGGACCTGGTCAGTCCCAGGCTCCAGCCTGCATGGGAGGAAGAGGGTGCCACGGGCCCACTGAGCCTCCTTGCGGGGTGGCCCATACCCTTGGCACCAGTCTGCTCTCTAGGGACCTACCTTTCTCTTTTGCCCAGGCTGCAAACCCAAGTTCCCTTCATCTTAGGATGCCTGCTCTGCTGGAAAGTGAGGTCAACGATGGAGGACTTCACAGGAGAGCAGAGGAGGTCTCAGCTCCAGGGTGGACGGCAATTCCTGCCTCTTCGAGCAGTGTGAGGACAATATCAGGTGACCTGCAGGTCACTCCTCGCAGAGCCAAGGGTCAGCCCACAGGGAGCTGACCCTCTCCAACCCTATCCCTGTGGGGCTGAGGGCAGAGAGTTGCCACTCAGTGAAGCTGACCACAGAGGCCACAGGGACTACAGTCTAGCACCACCAACCCAAGGCTTTCCCTCCCAGTGCAGGCTCTGGGGTCCATTAGCCTGGACTGAAGTCCCATTCGGACATAGGCAAGTGGCTTTCTATCTTTAAACCTCAGTTCTACATCTCATATTTAGGGGTGAAGGACTATTGGACCTGGGTTGGGGGTGGGCAGTGTGGGAGTCAATGAAATGCCAACCCTGCAATGCTGGCTCCCCATGGAAGGTACTCTCTGTCTCTGGCAAGTAGCCCTTCTGCCCCTCCCAACATGCACCTCCAGGGCCTCCTGGCCTCACCTGCTGTCCTGACCCGCCTACCCCACCTACTCCCATCTTTAAGTTATAAGTGAGTGCTCTGGGCTTGCATGCATGGTTCTGTACCCAGAGAACAGATATGAGAGAAAAGGGCAGGATGTGGGCACAGGTAAGGTGAACCAATCACACTGATGCTAATTGATGTGACCTGCCTGGGTTCACACACACACACACACACACACACACACACACACACACACTCCTGGACTGGGCTCTGATGGTTGCATGTTTTACCATTGACTCCAAGAGACCTCTCTCTTTAAAGAGAGACAACACACCATAATCACTCACATATAAACACATACATAGGGATGTACATACATACATGCATATGCACATGCATACACATGCATACACACAGCCACACATCCACATACATACATACACAGAGGCACACACACATACACAAGTGCACACACACACACACACACACACACACACTTTCCAGCTCTCCATGGCTTAGCTAAAGAGGCTCGGAGACGACGCCACGAAAGGACCACATGTCTGCATCCACTTCGAGCAAAAGAAGTTACATCTGAAAATTATCTATAGATGGCTATTATGTCATATTACAACTATATTCATATGAAAGTCATGAAAATACTAAGCCTCTGTAAAAAAGTTGTGCAAACAAGCAGACTGCACGGGCATCGTTATCAACACTTAAAGAGACATTCTCCAGCTGCCACCCTTGTATTGCAGCGTCTCCCCTCCCTTGCATATACTACATGTGATATGACCACATGCTTAGTAAGCTTCTCTCTCTTTTCTATTTTTTCTCTTGTACTGGGAATGCAACCCAGGGCTCACATATGCCAAGCAAGTGCTCTGTCACTAAGCCATGTCCCAGTCCAGTTTCTTCTTCCTGGGGAGGGGAACATGGAAGGGGGTTATGCTATAATGAACAAGACACCACCCAGGGATCGAGGTGACCAGCCCAGCTCTGGCCTTGCAGCCTCTTGCTATTTGACTTCCCCTCTCTGGGCCTCAGGTTTGTTACCTGTGAAGTGGGAAAATGGAAAAGAAGTGTTCAGTGTCCCTTGCTCCCATTCTGATAGTCCTGGACCAGCTGACTGGGTGAGCAGTGGGGTATCAGAAGACTTTGTGGCTGGGTTCGCAGATGTGGAGAAAGGCATGCTTCCACAGCCAGGGCCAGGAAGCCCAGGGTGCTGCCTCCTACCCACCAGTGCCCAGCTCTTCCCAGGGGCTGTGCTAAGGTGAAAGCCACAGCCAGTGGCACCTGATACCCAAACAGGAAGGGCTTGGTATGGTGCAGAGTGCAGTGACCTGGGGGTCAGGTCCCTCATAAGGCCTCAGCCACAGCTATTTAAAGTGCCTGTCTATAACACGGTGATTGCATGCGATGACCAGGCCTGAGAGCACCCCAGCAAATAAAACTCATCTGTAAAACAGGGTGTTAATTATTTTTTAAAAGTAAAACAATTTAGTATCAGTTTCGGGAAGTCATGATCCTGCTTCAAAGCACTTAAGAACCATCCCAGAATTCCCAGCCTTGGTCACAACCTGGAGTCACCTGGGTGTCTCTGGATATGCCTGGAGCCTGCCGGGAGAGGCCAGAATTTGAGCCGTGGGTCCAGTGGGGGATGTGAGTGGGATGTGCCCAGTCCTGGGACCTGCCCACCTGCAGGGCCCCTCCTTAGAAAGTTAGAGACCCCTCCAGACAGGCCGAGTCTCCCCGCTGTCTTGGGTCCCCTGATCCCTGACCCTAGAGGGGCAGGTGTTTGCACTCTGCCCTAAGCCTGCACATGGGAACAGTCCAACAGCAGCGGGTGGCTCCAGCCTCCTGGGACTGTCACAGGCCACCACACACAGTGACTGCACTTCACTCTCGCATGGAAATCTCAAAATCAAGTCCACTAGAACAAAACTACTTCTTGAGGACTCGGCATCAGGGTCACAAGCATCTCGCACTGGTCAGTGGTGCTGAGTGGGGGGCAGGCATGAGGACCATCACCCCACTGGGCTTGTGGTTATGTCTACTCCCTCCAGCTCTTCTACTCCTCCCTTGGTGTCCTCTGCCACTACCTCGCTGCACTCTCTGCGCCAGTGTCTGGTCATCACCACTCCTTCTAGCCCAGAGCTCAAGTCTCTGTGGCTTGAAACCAGCCGCACACCATGTTTTCACTGTGCGTATGTGAGTCACCGGGCTCTGAGGGAGGCCCAGTTCTGCTGGGCTGTACTCACAGCTCCGAGCCTCTTCACTAACATCTGGACTTCTGGGTAATGATTGTTCTTGCCTTCCAGGGCTGATGGAAGGTGAAGGCACGGGTGTCACAAAGTCTCATTAGAGAAACCCTGTGGAGGACTTCCCCAAACACAGACAGACATTAAGTATGAAGTTATCCACACCGAGCATGTGTACACATAGCCTATAAAAATTCTGTACATTATGCCCTAGCCATACACAGTATACATCTGGTATAAATAGACAAATGATGTCATATAAAAAGCAAGTTTGTTCTGAAAACTGTGGCATTCGTGCCCAGGTTGCTTAGGGGGTCTCTGGCCCACCTATGGCCAGTTTCCCCAGCAGCCACTCTCAGACGAAGCCCTGGGATTGCAGGACGCTGCAGAAGGTCACCTGTGTGCCCCAGCGGGCTAGGTGGGTGGGGGACCGTCGTAGCGGAGCATGAGTGCGAAGGAGCGGGCGAAGTTGTTGGCCAGGGCACAGCTGCGCTCCTCCTCGCCGGCCGGCAGCAGGAAGATCAGGAGAAGGAGGAGCAGCAGCAGCAGCTGCAATGGCAGGGCCACGCGGCAGGCCTTCCTCAGAAGCGAACAGACCCGCCACCGTCGCCGACGGCTCTGTGAAGCAACAGAGTTTAGAGTGAGTGGGGGTGCTGAGGGGCAGGAGGATGCGCTGGACCAACTCTGTGACCACACACGTCTCATCCGCCCACTGTAAAGTGAGCTGTGCCAGCTGATCGTGAGTCAGCGTGACAGGATCTAGAATCACTATGGAAACAAACTTCTGGGCATGTTTGGGAGGGAGTTCTAGATTGGGTTGAGGTGGGAAGACCCAGTCTAAGTGTGGGTGGCACCATCTCATGGGCTGGAGTCCTGAACGGTACGAAAAAGAGAAAGTGAGCTGGACACCAGCATTCATCTCTCTCTGCTTCCTGACTGCAGATGCCATGTCACAAGCACCTCAAGCTCCTGCCTCCTGACTTTACCGCGATGGACTGTACCTTCGGGCTGCGTGCCAAGCGACCCTTCCTGCCTTCCTTAAGTTGCTTTTGTCAGGTATTTTATGACCGCGATGGGAAAACTAAAATAAGGGGCCAACGTGAGTTTTGTCAGACACGACACCTCTGCAGGTTTTCTTAAACCATCCAAGGATTTGAAAGGAAGAAATGTTAACAAAACATGTTCAGCCAAAGCTCATGTAAATTTTTGCCTGGTGGACCCATGGTCCCCAGCTTAGGGTGGTTTGATTTAATGACTTTTCCACCTTATTTTTTAAATATTATTTTTATTTTATGTGTATGAGTGTACTGCCTGCATGTATGTAAGTGCACCCCTGTCATGCAGTACCTATGGAGGTCAGAAGAGGGTGTCAGATCCTTGGAACTGGAGTTACAGGTGGTTGTTAGCCGCCATGTAGGTGCTGGGAGTCAAACTCGGGTCCTCTGCAAGAGCAGCTAGGACTCTTAGCCACAGAGCCATCTCTCCAGCCCCAACTTTTCCACTTTATGATGATATAAAAGCAAACATACTCAGTAGAAACTACACTTCACATTCTGAATTTTGATCTCCTCTTGGGTTAGACCCATGTGGCCCAATGCCCTCCTTAGATGCTGGGTAGGGGAGTGCTAGAGGGAGAGGGGACTGGCCATCCGCAGGCTGCTGCGTAGCTGGGCTGGGGTGTTCTACTGTTATGTGCACTTCCGTCTTCTGGACTTTTCAACTCACAATGGCCTCATCAGGACAGAGCTCGACTGTGAGTTGAGGAACATCTCACTGGGTATCCAGAGATGGCCAGTCAACCTGTTAAGCCTCAAAATTCTCCATCTAGAAACAGGTGATAATGGCCACCTCCTCACAGTGGTTGTGAAGATTAAATGAGATGGAACCCAGCCCTTAGGACCCTGGCTGGGTGGGGAGTCCAATACAGACTCCAGCACAGGCTAGCTACGTGACCTAGGGCAAGTCATTAATGTTTCTGAGTTTGTTGGAGTTTGTGGTTGTCTTCATTTGTTTTTGAGACAGAGTCTCCCTGTAGCCCCAGCTGGCCTAAAACTCTTTGCAAACCATACTGGCCTCTATCTCAGAGATCCACCTGCTTCTGCCTCTCAAGTGTTGGGATTAAAGGTGTGCACCATCTTGCCTGGCTACTTTTCTGAGTATGTTTGCCACTTTGCTGGGCTGTGGGGAGGACTCAAAGTATATTAGATAAGATGTACCAGCTTGTATTATACTATTAGGACTCAAGTAATACTACTAGTGCTATTAGTAACTATTTGTACTAATTTTTATCAATGATTTGACTATAGTACTAGGACTATTATTAAGACTTTACCTGCTGACTCCCTGAAGAACCAAGATTCACCCTCCAGAGCATAAAAAGCCCCTGTCATAATAGCGATGATGACCACGGTGATGGTGATCATCATGACAAAGATGTTTGATGGTGCTGATAATGGGGGTGACAGTAATGATGTTGATGGTGAAAATGATGGTGATGGTGGCAAGGAAGATGGTGATGACAGGGAGGATGAAGGTGATGGTGATAATGAAGGTGATGATAGGGGTTGTGGTGGTGGTGGTGCTGGTGATCATGGAGACATTGTTGATGGTGGTGAGAGTGATGGTGATGATAGTGATGGTGACAATGATGGTGGTGGTGGTGATCATGGAGACGGTGTTGGTGTTGGTGAGAGTGATGATGATGGTGATCATGGAGGCAGTGTTGATGGTGATCATGGAGATGGTGTTGGTGGTGGTGAGAGTGATGGTGATGATACTGATGGTGACGATGATGGTGGTGATGATGGTGATCATGGAGACGGTGTTGGTGTTGGTGAGAGTGATGGTGATGGTGATCACGGAAACGGTGTTGATGGTAATCATGGAGACGGTGTTGGTGTTGGTGAGAGTGATGGTGATGGTGATCATGGAGACGGTGTTGATGGTGATCATGGAGATGCTGTTGGTGGTGATCATGGAGATGGTGTTGGTGGTGGTGAGAGTGATGGTGATGATAGTGATGGTGACAATGATGGTGGTGGTAATGGTGATGAGTGATGGTTGTGATGAAGATGGTAGTAAGGATGATGCTGTGATAGAGATAGCGATGGTGGTGATGGCAGTGATGATGGCAAGGATGGCCAAGGTGGTGGTGATAACAATGATGGTGATGAAGAAGCATTGCTGAACAGGTACTTGTGGGAGGTGATGAGGTCTGGGAGCGTTCATCTTTCTACCTCTCATCTAAGCTATCTCATTCACTCTCCTGGCCCAACTACCTCCTGAGAGACCAGCACCTGACTCTGCCTCTGGCTCTAAATGCTTCCACCCATCAAAGCCCCCAGACCTGCATTCTGTCAAGTCAGACTGCTTCAGGCCCATGCTGAGCAGGCTGGGCATATTTATTCATCAAGGACCTCAGGAACTGGGCATGGCACATTGTTTAAGTAGCTGGAGGAGCATAGGTACTCTGAGGAGGCACCTCCTGCTGTCGGGCTGGATGGGACCAGCTCTTGTATGCACCTGCCTGGGCTGGCTAGGCTGAGCTGCCTGGGTGGGTGTGGGGGCTGCACTGACTCCTCATCATTCACTGATGCCTTTGCCTGACTGAAACATCTCTGATGACCCAGGTGACCCATGGTGGCGAAGGACAGGAGACTAAGACAGTGTTGTAGGCTCACCAAGCCGGGCCTTACAGCACTAGAACCTTGTAATCTAGTCTCCCAGGTGGAGGGGTAGTTTACATTGGCCCGTCCCAGTCTCCGTGACTCCCCCAGTTCTCAGAACTGGGTTTTGCTTAAGCAAATGAGCCTGTGCCTTGGCCTTGACCCTCTCAACCAGCTTTGAAGGTTCAGCTGTGTTTGTACTCACAAGTGCTGGTGACTGCTGTGCTCCTTCAGAGGAGGCCCACGGCCCGGTCACCATTCCCAAGAGCCTACCTCTTACTTTAAGGGCCCTAAATTCTAAATTCTCAAATGCTCTTTAGAATAAAAACAAAACAAAACAAACAAATGATATCTGAGGCAAAGGGCACATTTTAATGTGAATCTCGGATGCTCAGATACACACACACACACACACACACACACACACACACACACACACACACCTTCTAAAAAGACAATAAGGGAACTGGCAATCCCAGCTTTTCTAGTGTCAAGAGCCTCTCCACACTGTTTCCCACAGAGTATGCCTGTGTGCTACCCAGGGGTATACAAGGGAGAGAGAGGGTGCCTCAGGAGACAAGGCTCCCCATTCCTCAGGGTAGGGGAGCCAAGGGTAGATAAGCACATGGCGGGGCGGGGCAGAGAATGCTCTGTCTAGCAATCACATCTGTCTGCCGAGGTCTCATGAGCGCTTGGATTCCAGAGTTCTGGGGAGTTCAGGTAAAAGGGCCGACCACAAGACATCTGAGCTAAATCTGCCATTGATGAAATGGGGTGTGGGAAGAACTAAAAGGCTCAGAGTTCAGAGCCCTGCATTCTAACCTCCGCTCTTCCACTTCCTGGATATGTGATCTAGAGCAAGTTACTTAGCTAGGTCTCTGTCTCTTCCTCTGTTGGGGGATAGGAAGAGTGACACCCATTTACCAAATTTACAGAGATAAACAAGGCAAGTAGGTGCTCAATAAGACTTCATTTCCTTCTTCCTCTGACTCATGGGTGCTGGGGCAGAGGGGCAGCTTCTAAAAGCCCCACAGCTTCCCTTCCGCCAGCCTCTCCAGGTCCCTCAGAGAAGAAAGCAAAGCCTCGCCTAGTGCTCGCTCTCGGGCTTTCAGAGACCCTCGTGGTCTTTGGCCATGGGGCCTTTCTACAGTCTGCCCCTTTTCTCTCCAATTCACCTGGTCATTCTCATGCCGATATGAATTATTTCCTCAGGGAGACTTTCCCTGACCTTGAGACCACACATTCCCAGGACACCATCGCCTCCCCACCCTTCAGATCAGGGATGAAGGTGTGCATCACCCTTAACTCCTTGAAGGCAGAGTTGCATCATTTTGCTGTCTGCTATATCCTTAAGCAGAATCCAATAAGCAGATATTGAATGACTAAGAGAATGAACATAATCTCTTTCCTCCTGTGCTCTGGCCATCTGCCCATCCCTCAGTGTCCAGGAGGTGACCACAGAGACACTCGCTGATTGCTGTTAGTGAAGATCTCACCATTTCTTTAGCCCACATACATCAGGCTCTACTCATCAGTGACCACACACACACACACACACACACACACACACACACACACACACACGCATACTCCACCCAAGGCCCCAAGCTCACCCATGTCATAAGCTTCCTGAATGCCTTCAGTCGTTCTGGGAGGCTGGCTACCCCATGCCCATTTTGCAGAGGAAGAAACAGGCTATGGAGAGTAAATAGCTCAAGGTCCCACACAGGTTCAGCTTTCAGCATTGCTGTAAAGCCCAGGCCTTCTCTGTCATCCCACATGGCAGCTCTCACAAGAAACAGCTGCTGAAACGTCAGCACAAGCTACTCTGAGCCTCAGCTGTCAAAGCTGATCTGTTAAGGCTGGTCCCATCCTGACCTGTCATGTAGTTAGTAATTTTTTTTCTTTCTTTCTTTCTTTTTCTTTCCTTTCTTTCTTTCTTTCTTTCTTTCT